AAAGGGCGTATGATCATCAATAAATGTGAGGATGTACTTCAGATCAGTTTTGGTGAAGGGAGTTATAGGACCAACTAAGTCACTGAGCAGAAGATTGAAGAGAGTCGGAGAGCAATGAAAGAACATGTGGAGAGTGATCTGGTGAGTTCTCCCATTGCACAAGAATCACATGGGTTACAATCCTTTTGAGTCAATGTGATCAATTTGTGCCCTTGAAGAAACAAAATAATGGAATCAGAATGAAGGTGACTCAACTGTTGATACCAAAGAGTAGCAAGTTTTTCTGAGACTTGGTATAAGACAAATGTGCTGAAGAAGGGATCCAGAGACAATTGGTCTTGACATTTCTACACATTATAAGGACCTCCTTCCCTGAAGGATGTGCAATGATTCCAATGTTTTTGTATAAAGATGCATGTACACTATCATCACATAGGTGGCCAACTGAGATCAGGTTACCACTTGACTTTGGAAAGTGCAATACATCTTGAAGAGTGAGAGAATTGAACCTGACTGTTCCCTTGTAATTTCCCCATATATGGGTCCATCTTGAAAGGCAAAATCAATTCAAGTAGGTCAGGTGTTTCAGTACTGACAGTAAACATCTATCAGAGAATGTTGCAAATGATAGGAACATTAGAAGTGGTTGCAGAGAAGGCTGATTCCCAAATACCATCAACATACATCTTCATCTGCTTAGGGAATTGATTGTCAGATTTGAGCTACATCTGAAACAAGAGCATGACTTGATGAAGTTCAAGAGAAGTTTGCCATTTTGGTGTTTGCCAAACTGCATCAGTGTGTCCAAGGTGACCAAGAGAGCATTGGGGAATTGACATAGATGAGTGATCACAAGTTTTTGTCAGGGTGGTTCTCTATGATGGGTAACACTACACAAATTAGAACAGCTGTGTTCAAACCTAACCCGGTTGCCAAAAAAACCCGGTACACACAGTTGGCTTTTTGGCTGGGAGATGTCCAGCAGAACTGTTGGTAAATGTCAATGTGATACACAAAGTCAACACCAAATCAGTATCCAAACTTTGAAGAAAGAATGGTTTTTGAATGAAGGAGTTTGATAGTTACATCCCAAACTGGTACAACTCTTGATGCTCTCAGTACATATGGATTGACCTAAAACTCATGGCAACTGGATTAGGTTTGAACACAGCTAATATTTTCTGGGCATAAAATCTAAATACTGACATGCAAAAATATTGAGCAGTCAGGAAGAGAGAGAGAAAAATACCAAAAAATATGCATATTGCTCTCATGTTTGAGACCTTCGATATAAGTATTGTTTTGTATTTTTAGTGTGCAAAGTGTTGATTGTACTAACAAAAAGCCTCCAGGGTCATCAGATTACAACCTGTAACAGATATTGGAATTTGGCTCATGGGTGAGAAGGGATAATTTGAATTCTAAAATCTCTTGTATCTTTTGCAATTTTCAGTGAAAACACTGGTTTTTAGTTCATTAGAAAGCTAAACTCTGTGAGTTTATATTTCATTGAGACTGAAGGGTGGTATCCAATTCCAAAAAACATCTATGTGGCTATATCTGAAACACTTTTAAATACAAATAACTATTTTTCAGCAAAGCTACAGCTTTGTTGCATTGACAAAACTTTTAGATCAAGGATATGGCTAGACTGTCCCAAAGGCTGTCCACCATATATTTGCAGAAAAAACAAACTGCAAAAGTTTGAAAGATTTTCTGTTTTGTAAAACTTTAAACAAAAATATCCCAACTTGAAACCCCCTATCATATCTCTTGTAGTGTAAGCTGTTCTCTAGAATCACACTTATGTTGTAGAAGACTACCTGATCCTCATGGGTACATAGAATTAAAGATAATGGAACTGTTCCTAGTGGAATAGTAAAGTTTATCAAGGTTAGTATTGGGTAACAGTTTCAATATACAACTCAAGATTCTACAGAGGACAACAGCTTACTACAGGTTAGCAGGAGCAAATTTGGTCAGATTCTAAGCTAAAGAACTTTTGAAGATGAATCTCCAAATAAAATGTGTTCTAAAACAACAGGGATCCTGAAAACTTCATGTCACATATCAATGGTACTTGACCAAGAGTAGTACTATCCTACAAGTAGGAGTAGTGAGGGTGGAGTCCTTAGAGGTCTCAAAGGGAATCTTGGGAAAAGAAGTTTATAACTAAGATGAGTGGATGGGGGGCAAGTCTACAATGGAAATACTAAGCTTTAAACAAAGACTTGTTTGACATGAGTTCTTCTGATGGTTATAAGTGCTCTAAGAAAATGCTTCTCAGCTAAAAAAAGGTTTAATGGTATGTATTTTGTTTCTTCAGGTGGAACTAAGCTATTGGAATAGCAGGAGTCGGACTTGTCAACATGAAAGGTGGTAAGTTTTTTAGGCTGGTAAAGAAGATGCCTTCAACACTTGGGTTGGGAAGAAGGATTCCTTTAATTATACTATGTATGTACCCTGGTGGCCTACTTGTGGTTGGCCAAAGGTGCAGTAGACTAGAGTTAGAAGTTTTGTATTTGTGGTTCAATTGTGAATGCAAACCTTCCACTTCTGGACAGTTTTTCCAAATGCAGATGTGTTTGGCTTTTGTAATTTTTGTCCTCTAAAGTGTTTGGAAAACATTCACACCCCTGACCAACTGTGTAACTTTGGTTGTGTGTAGGAGGGTGATTTTTGAAAATTTGTGGAAAACATAAATTTTCTGTTATGTTTCTGTCAGAGAACATACTTCTTTAGTCGCATAGTTAAACTTATCCAAGTCCCACACTGTGCAGCAAGCGACTTGTGACAAGCCACACTTTTGCCTGTGAAGGGAATCAAGTTTGGTTGGAGAAATGTTCATTCCTTATAAAACTCTTTTACCTATCTGTAGACTTTTGTGAACTATGGAGGAGACTGTTTGTTCCCCTCTCTGAGACACTTCTTTGTATGAAAAAAAAATCTCAAGGAAACCCAGAAGTCTGTCTCCTTCAGAAGTTTGAGATTCTTCAAATTTGATTGTAGCACAACTGCGGGGACAAAACATCGGAATAAAACCTTATGGATTCTTTACTCCTGTTGGTATTCAGAGTGGCTGTAAACAAGATCTTTGTATGTTTTGATCTTTGAGGTGTTCCAACAAAGACACAGCCTCCAAAATTTCTTGCACCGGCAGTTTGAAGTTCTCAACATGTTTTTGGACAGGCATTTGCAGGTAGACAATATAGATATGTAGACCACAAGTTGAGATGGAATTATTCTACTGTAGATGGCGTGGTCAAAGAAGCTGCCAACAGCCTGTTGCTTGACTTGTTTTATAGAAGTACCAGATGGCCCTGTTCTCATGATTGAGGAGCAATGTGTCTAGGAACAGGAGGCAATAGCTGGTACCTTCACGCAATGATCCGTTGAAGACAAAGCACTTATCAAAAATTGTGAGGACCCCCGCCATTTTTTCTTGTGTCAATATTTCTTATAAGTACTACACTGTATTATGAACCGCTCAGCTGATACTTTTACGTGAGGATGAGTTGAATACAGAGTGCTATAAGAATCACTTCATGGACAATTGGTCGCCATGATGAACTCTTTGATGAACTGAGACTATAAGTCTGAGATTCAACCTGATTCCACAGAAGAGCCTTCAACTTTTATAGGGAATGGAAATTTCTCCAGCCAAAATTGATTCCCCTCACAGGCAAAAGCTGCAAAAGCGTGTCTCGTTGTCAACTTGTCATGAGTCCGGGTAGGTCCGGCTGCCTCGCTGCGCTCGAAGCGTGCGAGAACCAGCGTGGGACTTGATTGTGTCGCATTAAGCCGGCTCGCGCAGCCGAGGCTATGAAAAAATCTTATTCTCAGATAGAATTTGATACCCTTTGATATTTTTGAACAAATAGCTTTTTTAATCAGCCACGATGGATGTGTTCAAAGGGAATCTTTAACTGCATATGTATCTCATCTCACCATGCTCTTCATGTTTAGGATACCTACATCTTAAATGAATTGAGTGGTGCGCTACCAAACTTTTCCAGGAACACCACCTAATGAATTGAGAATTGATACCCCTGTTTTTAGTCCTGAATTTGTTGAGTGATCCTTTTTACCGATGATGCGAAAAAGAGGTCGAATCCAAACTTCCATCCTTGTAGAATCGGTTGTGCCTTAAAATGTTGAAGTCGATCTCAAATGAACAGATAAAAACTTATAACCAGAACCACGAAACCAATTCATGTCTTCCTTCAGAGTAGTCACTTCATCATCATAATTCTCATCCTCATCCTCATCATCCATTCATCAATCAATCGATCGATCCATTCATCCATCTCATTAGATCTCAATCCTGACTTGCCTTCTCTGTCTTCACTTTGATTCACCCGAAGCAATTTTATCCAGATTTGAATGCTTTCAACTTTTTCTCACATACATACCATCGCGATTTGATTGCAATCTTGAAGTTTCCAAGTATCATCCATCATCCATCATCATCATCATCATCATCATTGATACAATAATTCTAGATATGTACTAGACTATAGATTATAATTATTAACTTCATTCATTTTACCGATTCCTTCCGAACGGATTCAAACTGCATACTTCCATATCTCCAATCACATCTCAACTTGAAAATCCCCTCATCGTCCCTTTCTTTCTCTTTCCCGCTTCGGCTTCCATCAGATCTGGGGGGCGTTTACGAAGATTGAAGTCTTGTTTGGCCTACTTGTGCCAAGAGACAATTAAATCGAAATATAAGCCACCTAAGCTATCTTAGTTACCTACCCGTAGGATCAACAAGGTCAGTGGATACTATGATGTAGTAGTCAGCTTATGTGTGACTGTCTCTTCTCTGCATACTGTCAGAAACTAATCATCCCTTGATGCATCTCACTTTTCTCACCTCATCGCGACCTGCTTCCCCTTTACTTTTTTTTTTCTTCCTCATCCGTCTTGGTCATCTAGCTACAAAACTTCATCACCTCTTTACCTAGCAGCAAGACGGTACCACTTCGATTCATCAAATTTGAAAACCTCACTCACTAATCACATCCCCTTCATCCACTAGACTCACCACATCATCCTTTTTATCTCTCATTACCACTCAGCATGGGTCACAACGCCGTAGTCAATCAGGGTTTCCTCATTCTCTCTCTCTCCATACCTGATCCATCTGCCAGGCCTGGAACGAGTGCCGGTCAGACGAAGAAGAAGAAGCAAAATATCATCCAACGCACCACTTACTCAATACTCTACGCCGATGGACGGCTCGAATGTTACCCTGGCGATCCCTTCTCTGTGGGCTCAAGATATGAGGCTTCCAAAGCTACTAACATCCTCTATATCTCACAAACTACCGGTTGGGCATCGGTCACTCTTGTTGCCGATAACTCTGATCAGCCTCCCGAGGAATGTCTATCATTTGCCATTCGTCGCAAACCCCCGATCTCGAACCAGTCCAACAATTGGAAACATCTCGGTCTTGATGCAGAATTGATGGCTTTACCGACTAGCCCCACTAGCAACACGTCGGATTTGAAGGATCGTAAAACTTTGAAGGGCTTTTTAGGAATTCGCGGCAAGAGAACGAAAAGCGTGGGAACTCGTAGCGTCAGCCTACAGTCTATCAACGTTCTTGACAGCTCGGTTCCCCCTCTTCCCACCAAGTCGATCGACGGTCTATCGGACCTCAGTCGAACCTCACATTGTTCAACCTTACTCAAGTCTCAGCCCTTGACTCAGCAGGATCTTCAATTCAATCAAGCTCTACCTGACCCTTTGATCTTCTCCGTTGATTCCATTCCAGCCAAACTCTCGTGGATCAAAGGCTTTGAGAAAGTTTTGGTGGACCCACCTCAAGTTCTTCCATCTAACGATCTTCCAATCAAACTTGAATTTTCGCGACATGTGACACCCTCCGATTTGTCACCTCTCATGTCTTCTCCAGCCTCTTCCCCCCATCTCAATCTCACCTTGCCCTCCTCATCGCTACCCGGTCATGAATCCGACCTGAAGCCTCATCCCCTCACACATTCCTCTTCAATAGGTTGTTTGAGTACCCATAAAATTACACCCGTCTTCAAATCATCACCTCTACCAAGTGCGATCTCTCTTGGAGCAGAGCTGCCTTCTGCGTCCTCGAAACCTTGTGTGACTCATCCTACCACCATCTCGAAGACGCCTGCTCCCACACCCTTGGCATCTCCCTTTACTGCCCCTCCCAAACCATCCGTTTTACCTGAGAGCACAGGTGCAGTACCTGCTTGGATCAAATCTGTTCGGAACGCGAACGAAAAGAAGATTGGACTCGAATCTGCAGCATCGTCGCCTATTCCCAGAGCCCCCAACTCACTTGTACAGCCATCTATCAAATCACAATCATCTCAAGCCTCTCTTAACATGTCTTCAGCCTTTTCCGCATCTAACAACTCTGCTTATATGTCAGACAGACGTGGTACCTTTGGGCACGGAAATGGTATTTCCAAATTCACTCCCTTTAATCAACTACGTTCTATTGGTAATTCAGTTGTCACGAATCTAAAGCGATCTGGCTCTAACCACGAGTCCTCTGAAGTGCTCCCCGTATCTCATGATGGTGGGCCTAAGGTAGTTGACGATGACCACTCAAGTAAATCGAGTGACCTGATCACGTCTAGTCATGCCTACTCTTTCGAAGCCAGCTCATTGGATGCATTTGAAGTAGGACCGAAAGACAAAGCTTTTCGCTTCCTCTTGCCCAAGAAGAAACGAATTGGATCTATTGTTGAAGTGGCCGGCACTGATCTAAGCGATTCATCTCCAGCAATCCCTCATAACTCATCTAATCTCTACTCTCTTTCCCGCACTAACTCGATATCCGATCAACGTTCGAACTCTAAAAAGCTTGTATCCGAACCTACTTCCTTCCGTTCTACCCCTGCACAGATTCAGCGAGAACGTGAAGCAGATTCTGAGAACTTTACGCAACTTTATCCTATGAATGCAATCGGTGACTCTAAGACTGGCTTTGGTTCGGGTCAGGGGGCTCACCCGTATTATACTATCCCCTCATTACAAGACTCTCACTTGGGTATGAAAACTCCTCATTCAAAAGAGTCCTTCACCGAGTGGCTATCAGCAGCAGCGGGCCAAGCCGCTCACGAGTTGGAATCTCCTCGTGCGAGAGTCCCTCTAGGATCAGCTGACAAGCTTCGTGCCCTCCTCCCGACACCCCAAAGAGGTTGTAGGCGTGTTATGAGTGGGGTAAGCGTTGCGGCATTCCCTTAGAAGTCCCATAGAGTCTTTATATCTGACCATATTCCACTCTCTTCCACAGGATGCCAAATCAGCCTCTGAAAACGCAAGTCTTTCGCCAGCAACAGTAGACTCCACTTACCACTCTGATCGATCGCCTTCTACGACGATTTCCGAAGAGACGCCCTCTCACAAGATGAATTGCTCTTTGTCCCCTGACAACCTTGATCAAAATTCATCCTCGTCTACGCCTCATCATCCAAGGTTTGGCCGATCGATCGAGACGGCCGAACCAAAGCTCGCAAACGACAAATGGGTCACTAATCATATCATTCCACCACAAGAATTGATCCACCAACTTCAACCTAGCGCATCAGAGAACTCGAGTCTTTGGTTACGGTCTCCTGCTCGGTTCTCTGATAACGCGCAGTTCCTCAAGTCCCTTAGTGAGAACCAACAATTAGCTCTGAAGCAAAGTGGCCAAAACCTGAAGGCGGCGCTCGCCGGGTCTGATGCCAATGGTGACGTGGGTAATGCTGAACCTGGCTCACACGACCTTGCCACCTCGATCCGCCCTCAGATCCCCGGAATTCCATTCCCAAAAGTGAAACCCCAAGCGGTCAATAGTGTACCCTCTCTTCCTGTTCCTGCTCGAAGAAGACGGCGCCAAAATAGTAACGGCAGTACCCCAAACTCCAAGTCTACTTCCGCTCAGAGCTCAACATCGAAAGGAAACGAGTTAAGCGAGTCACAGTCCCAAATGGTGTCTTCTCGTCTACCTAACCACCGATCACGCACTATATCTCAAGGTAATATTTTCAGCTCTCTTCCTTTCCCTAACATGAATCTGCGACTGAAAGGGTGCGACTCATTTATAGATTCCCCTTCTGCCACTCATGTGATGCGCATGCCCTCGCACAAACTGTCAATATCCGACTTGGCGTCTGCTGTTGATGATGACTTTGGTGACCTCGGACAGTGGGCCACGAAGGAGAATGATGAAAATTTGGCCAGCGAAGTTTACACTCATGATGGGATGACCACTAAGGCCATTAAAGGACAACCTGCAAATGATTTCAATAGTGCCGCTCTTACTCCGACCTATAAAACCGTCTTTGACCTTGCACCGGCCCCCAAAAGCAGCTTTGGACAAAACCTCTACATGAACTCCAACTCACTCTCAACCGATAACCAATCATATCGCCGTGGTAGTCAAAGTACATTAAGAGGACTATGAGTACCTTCTCATTTGTTTGTAGACTAGGGTCAATTTATCAATGCTGCTCTTGAAGCAAACGGTTCATGATCACCCTTTCGTTTACCACCTTCAGCACACGCGCAATTCTTTCCCTTGGACAGTACAATATTCCGAATATCTTTCCGCAGTGTTTATATAATCTTATCCGCCAAAGTTAGTCCTTACGATCACGGTTTAGTTCATTGAGCTCTGTCAGGTCTCCATCAGTTATCTTGCATGCATCACATCCCTTTCTTCTTGCACCCCTTTCTGCCTGTCAGCTGGACTCGAGATTTTACACTTGTATGCATCCCTGTTCATCACCTATACGCCAATGTTTCAGCGAAGTCCTTTTCAGTTTTTTCCCTTTAATTCTCTTTTTCTCTATTCTGGTCTCCTCATTGCTAGTCTTTCCTATTTATTGCCCTCATTGATTAACATTTGTATCAGTTTTTTTTCTATTGACCTCTACGGCTAGCTTGTTTTAAAATTCTCTTTCTTCCTTCTACGGTCTTTTTTCTGTTTGCTGAACCCACACAGAAGCTTGCTGGCTGTAGGAGGATACTTCAACAAAAGACTTAAATAGAGAGGTTATCAATACATAATATATATAGAACCGTACATAATAAAGTTGACTGATGTAGTAGTAACAAATGAGTTTATTTGGTTTTCATGCGTCTTCCCTTTGATTTTCCTTGCCATTTATCTTTTATTGTTAACGGAATCCCTCCATAGTAATTTTCTTTGCAAGATTCATTTTTCTTTCAATAAGTCGTCTTGTACGTTTAATTTTAACCTTTGAAAGATTTGTTTTGTTTTATTCAATTTGTAATTGTTTTAATTTGATTTTTTGATTTTCTCTTTTTTCCATATTGGATGGTATTAATCAAACATTTTTTTTTCCCTAGAAATGAACTCTTTAAATATTGCACTTGATTAATATGTTTGGAGTAATTATTCTTTTGAAAGAAGTTTGAAGATTAACAAATCCAACTTGATCAATTTTGACATGACTTTGAAATCATCAATCTGCTTGCTAAGACTTCTGCAAGCGAAGGGTTTTGAGATGTTACCATTGTATTAAAATAGGAAAGAATCTAATTGGTTTCTTGAACATAAGACAGATTAGGATTTGTCTATGTGTTTCTGAAATTTATCATGTTTGTCCTAGAGGAGATTCTGATCCTTGAAGAAAAGAAAATCAAAGTGTTCCTCTTGAAGACTTCTTGAGGATTCAAATTCTATTGTTTATCAGAATTGTGGTCACTTGAGAAATTACCTCATATATCACGGGGTAATCCATACCGCTGTGTTTCTAGCAGAGATTCTTGCTGTACGGCCAGATCGTTGGTGGTGCACGGCCACCGCCAGATGGTCAAGAGCGCGGCGGTTGAGCAGGAAGACTGGCTGACTGCCATAAGATGGGCCTTTTCATTTGGCGGCCTATAGATTGTCTCCAGGCAGGGTTTGTACACTGCCAATCATGGGTGAGCTGATTGAGTGAAGCTCTTTGTTCCTTCCCATAGCCACATCATCCACCTCATGTGGGTTGAGGCATCAATGTTGAGGAGATCCCAGACTAAAGAATGGATTCTAGGAGCTTTCATGGTTTCAAGATAATGAAAAGGTGGTGAGAAGCATGTCTATGGAGGCAAATATGAAAGAACAGAGTTTGATTCCACAGCCTTTGATTTGGTGTTCCTTGAAGTTGAAGACAGTTCCTTTGACTGTCTTCTGAGCCAGCTACAGGTTTGGTACATAGATATCTTGCCAGACCCGCTGGTGGGGTGATTGGCTGATATTGGGCCAAGGGCCAAAAAAAATGGCTTTTGGCTTTGAAACAGCTGGTAAGGGTGTGTTCACTTAAGCCACTTCTGGAGAAAAATCACATTCTGCAAAATTTAAAGTGTCTATTTGGTGGAGTGTGTTTCTTTTGTGGATTAAAAAATTCATAGAATGTGATTTCTGGTCAGAATTTCCTCAAGTGAATGTGCCCTTAAGAGCATCTCCAACGCGCCTGAATCTGAATGACTCATACAGGTAATTTATTTCTTTGGCTGGACAGCTGTATTTCTTTTTCAGCAACATGTCAGGACAGGTCCCTCCAGCGCACAATCTGAACTTCATTCTCAGTTCCTCTTGAGGTTCAACCCACGTCACTCAAAGTCCCTTTTTGTCCAGACGTGAGCAGTCACCTACCTATCTGATTATCACAATACGTAACGAGTTCGACATATGGACAATTATTTTAGTCAACGTTCGGGCAAAAACCGTTGAGATACTAGTTTTTCAGCGATTCAGCCAGGTCCGCAAATTTGCGGACCTGAGCATGGGAGTGTGTCATTTCCCAAAAACCAAGTCCGCACCATGGGCCAGGTGTGAGACCTTGGCCTTGGCGCTGGAGGACGATTTTCTGAAAAACAGCAATACAGGTTACGTTTTTGACATAAACGTAACGTTTAGTCATTCAGATTTGCGAGCGTTGGAGATGCTCTAACCATCCATAATTTGGAGACCACTTTTATTCTGGTATCTCAACCAAAAAAAAAATTCCTTGCAGTGTAGGTGATCAAAATGTGAAAAGGAAAAGCAATTTAGTATACAGGCTCAGCTCTAAGTTTATACATTCAATCTTTGAGACTTGTTTTACAGTTGTTGTCAAAAAGCTTGTCCAAATTTGCCTGCAAGACTCAAGCAATCTGGCAGTAAATTGGTGACAAGCTTCTTGAAAATGACTGTATCAAAATCTCCCAACAGAAAGAACAAGCTGCATAAGCCTTGATAATGCATAGAAAAAATGTTGAATCTTGATGCTTTTTATTGCCAAAATTGATAACAGAATTGCATAACCCATCAAAATGCACACCCAAAAGTCTTCCAGCCAAATTATGTGATTGTGCGGGTTTGACTGTAAGAGTTTTGAAATTATACCGCTACTGAACCAAATGATCAAATGATCATTCCAAGGAAAAATAAAATTAAATCATGCACTGCCAGGTTTCAACACTCTCCCAAATAGAATAATGTATGTATTTTTTTTGCAACCATCAATTCACATTTATAGGACAATAATCAATGATTCCAAAAAAAAAATGAATAATCATCTCAATTGGGAGAGTGTTTAATCCTGACAGTGCATGAAAAAGTATATTTGATTCATCTTTAAAGACTCTGCAAGCTTGGGGAAAAAGATACCCTCAGAGTCAACTTATTGTGAATTAGAATACACATTTATTTTGATCTAAACAATTGGTTTAATAATGATGATCTCTTTCAATCCATCACCCAAAAAAAAGTAAATCAAAAAAAATCCAAAATCATATCTAAAATATCCAACGAGAGAAACCAAAAAAAACACATCCTTGAATCCCAACCATTGTAGAAAAAAAAACAGATTCCCATTTTCCATGTCAAACAAAAGTAAATTTCATTCCATCACCCTTCACCATTTTCCTACACCCATCTAACCCAACGATCCTTTCAATCCGATTAGAATCCAAATCAGAAAACAAAACTTTAACTTTAACTTCTTCTACATCCACTCTACCTTTCTCAAATGGATATTCATTACAAAACTCTAAATAATAATCCGAATGGATCGGTGGTGAATAAAAGAGAATCTCTTTAGCTCCTCTTAGTTTGTATCGATGATAGAAATGAAACCTTTCGGTGACTATTAGAAATGAAACGTGTTGATTGAAAAAAGCAGATCGAGCTGCATTGATTTCAGATGGAGTTGAGTATCTGAGAAAAAAAATCAAAAAGATTAAAAGAAAAAAGGATCAAATTGAGTTTTCTTTTTCGTGTGATTTTTTTTTTGCTGATGAAAGAAAAACACTCACTCTGAAATTGACACAAATTTGATCTCATCCAATGTTCTCATATATTCTTCAAGTTTAACAAACTCAAAATAATCCGTCACAAAGATCATAATCCCACCCAAACCTGATTTCACCATAGCAGAAGCCAAGAGTGGTATCAAAAGTTTTTCCTTAAAGACCTTTAACCTCATCTCTTCTTCTTCTTGTAGATCTTCATCAAACTTAAACTTTAACCAAGTTTGTTGTAAGCCAGGTTTGAGTTTCCATAGAATTCCAGATCGAATCAAATTAGCTTGATAGAATTCAATCGATTTACCCGATTGATTCGTAAGTCTTCTAAATAATGAAGTTTGTTCGGGTGAACTTAAAGATGAGAGTAAGATAGTTTGTCTTAGATGTTTTGCATGATCGTCTAGATACCATGGTTTGACTCTTGAGAAATCGGTATCCCTAGGTTTACTTGGGATTTGATTTAGATGATCAAAAAGAAACTGAAAGATGTAGGATTTGATTAATCTCATTTCGATTCTTGACAGTATTAGTCCAATTTGACTTACCTCTACATGATCCCAATTTTGCATCAGCATCACATCCATTTGATCAGCAATGACCATCTCGATAGAAGAAAGAAAATCAGCATCCCTACAAAAAGTAAAGCCACACACCCGCCCCCCCCGCAAAAATAAAATCAATTTGATTTCCTTTAATTTTTTTTCACAATCAATTCAAATGAACATCAACACACCCTTCTTTTTCAATCAATTTTCTTAATCCAACTGGACTTCCAATAATCCAATCCGATTGAAAAAAATTAGAATACAGTTTAAGTTGAGTTGGATTAGAAGTCAATTGGATGCCTAATTTGAAATCATCATCTACATTTCCAGCAAAGATCATTCGATGTTCTAATGTATATTTCTCTCTAGCTTCATCTGTTTCTAATTTATCTTCTGTTCCTTTAGGTAAAGTATATTCTTTTTCGAATCGATCGAATCCTTTTGGAATCGATTCTTTGGATGGGTTTGGACTTGTTGTGTATTTGATCAGTTTGGTTACCCAATCGTATGCTGATGATCTGAATGGTAATAAGATCAACACTTTCGGTCGTGTGAATCCTTGGTCTCTTAAATCAGGTTCGATCATCTCGGGAGTAGGTTTGGTTTGAGTTGTGGAATCATTAGGGTCTTGTACTGTAGAGACAGGAGTGATGTTTTGTTGAGCGATACGAGCCAAATGTTTATCGTTTTTTAAAACTTGACGTCTGGTTCTAAACATACCAACAAATTCAAATCAATTTAACCCAACCTACCAAATCAAATTAAAAACTTTACAAACTCTTTAACATGTTCTAAAGTCCATAAAGCAATCGAAATACGGAAATCAACTCTAGATTGATTATAAGGTAGGTTTGTAAACCAAAGATCTTGATATGTTTTTAAACTTTCAAACACTTGAGTTTGATGACTTGTAAGATTTTCGATCCATTGATTTCGAGTCTTAACAATCTAAAACCGCAAAACAACACAAAAAACCATCAGAAAACCCCCCCACTATTTTGAAGAAAGTGAATTGATTGAATGTACTTTGGGAATAGGTTTTGATGAAGAATCAAGTTGATGAGGTATAGGAGAATTGATTGAATATCGAATGATACGTTTTTCATCAAGTTTTGAATTCGAAGTCAGTTTCCAATTCTTCCAATCTTTTGATAACTCGATTCTTGTTGAATTTAATAAACTTGTTTCAGCTCCAAAATGATTCGAATAGAAATCTTCTACCAAGGTTTCTTGATCTAAACCAAAAGAACTGTAAGTGTGGGATTCTTGCTTTTCAAAGATCTTGAGATCATCACTTACTTGAACTTTCAAGAATTCCAGTTGATGTAGATTCTAATGAGATTTGATTGATTGAATGGGTTTGATGAGTGATTGATTTTGAAATAGATGAACGAGCAATCGAATTCCAATCTCTTTGAATAGGTGTTTGAGATTTAGATAAACTTTTCGTTGGTTTTGCTGCTGTTACATTTAAGAGTGTTAATAGTTTGACTCTTGCATTGTCTATTTTGATGGAAGTTGATTCTGAATTGGATTGGATTGAATGTTTTGACATCTTTAATGAGAATATGAATAATGCAAGTTTTGAGAATTCTGGTGGTTCACAATCAGATTGGAAAAATGTTACATATATCATCAGTTGACTTGTAAGCTTGTGGGTTTGTAAGTCATCCGCAGTAAATTACATGTTACATGTTACAGTCATCTTCGATTGATTTCATTTTTTTTGGTTTCTTTCAACTTCCACTTTATCATTTCTTACCAACATCATCATCATCATGGCACCTAAATCAATCTTCAGAGGTCCAGATGCAAAACATTATGCAGTCGTTCATAGATCTCAACGTGATCCACTCATCAATGACCCAGAAGCAGGTGATCGAGTTTTGTACGAAGTCGAAAGACCAAATGAAATTAAATCAAAACGAAAACATCAAGTCAGTCTAATATCTTTTAAACTCTCTCTCTCTCAAAGAAAAACTTTAACCAAACCTATCTTGATGTTTGACTTTTTTGAATTTGATTAGGGTCAATCTAGATCTGAACTTGAATCTTCCCTTGGTTCACAAACCACTTCAATCAGACCTAATGTAGGAGAAGCAACCATGTATGATATCTTTTATGATGATTCAGAATACGATTACATGCAACATTTAAAACCAGTAGGAGTCTCCAAAGATGCAATCTTACTTAACAAACCAGAAGCACGTCAGGAAAAACCCAAGAGCTTTGGATTACGAGAAGAAAATCCATCATCAGCTTCATCTTCATCATCAAGATTACCCAACTCAGTTTTACCTACACCTAATGAACAAATCTTATCTTACAAAGATCACTTGGAATTCGCTTTACCTTCTAATTCTGCTTTATCAGATGGACTGATACCTGCTATAAATGATCCATCGATTCGTGAGATTATGGAAGCACTTGAAGATGATGCGTTTGTAGAGGAAGAAGCCAATGATGCGTTTTTCGGTCAGATTGTAAAAGATGGAGAACGGGATGATGGAGATGAACCTGAATGGATTAACGAATTAAAAGATCAACCTGTTGAACTTACTCAATGGGATAGAACTGTTGGTCAATTTAAACAATCTACAAAAGAACGTCAAGTATCAGATGATGGTAGGTCTGATGTATCTTCAAATGATCAAGATCATCTTCAATTCTCAAGGTCTGGAAAAGATGTTGGGAAGAAGAAGTCAGGGTCAAGTCAGTTTGGTAGTAAGGCAGGATCAGCTTTTAGTATGAGTAGTTCAGCAATGTATAGGAATGAAGGATTATCTAATCTGGATGATCGATTTGATAAGGTGCAAATCTTCTTTTGACTTTCAAAAAAAAAGATTGACTCTTTTTAATTTTGTTTAATTTTTTTTTCTCGGGGGGGGGTGTTCGGATGTTTTGATTATAGATTGAAAAAGAATATGAAGATTCAGATGAAGATTCAGATACAGCATCCGAAAACTCAAATCAAACAGCAACACCTAATACGATGTATGAAGAAAGAGAAGATTTTGAAGAGATCATGAATGATTTCTTAGATCGATTTGAAGTATTAGGAGGAAAGATGAAACCGATTTTAAAAGGTAAAACCCCATTAGAGAAATTAGATACCTTACGAAAAGAGATTTTGATTGAAGATGAAGATAGGGATGAAGATTTAGAAAGAAGATTGATGAAAGAGAAGATCTTGATTAGATTAGATGAAGAAGAAAAGAAAGAGATGAGAAGGGTGGTGAAAGAAACCGAAGTACTTGAGTTTGAAACTATTGAAGATCGACATAATAAATGGGATTGTGAAAGTATTTTAAGTTGAGTGTTTGAGGAAATTGAATTCAATCATTTCAAAGATGAGATGAAGGATTTTCAAAATGATGACTGATTTGTTTTTAAAAAAATAGGTACATATTCTAATGTTGAAAATCATCCACGAGTTATACGGATTAGAGATACATTAGATCATGTCAAAAAACAAACTGAAGTAGCTACTAAAGTTGAAATCGATCGGTTAACTGGATTTCCTGTCGTTAATGGTCAAATCGTTCGTGGTACCATCAACACCCAAGAAACAAAAGATGACGAAGAAGAAGATAGTGATGATGACAGTGATGCAGAAACAAGTGGTAAGATACAATTAATTCAAGTTTTTGAGCAGGTTTCTTTGATTATTGATGATACTTTTGATCATGGGATCTGAAAAAAAATAGTACCTATTAGAGAAACGATTAAACGTGATAGGAATGAAGATAAGGAATCTAAAAAACTAAGAAAAGCAGAAGTTAAAATGGAACGTGCTGTAAGTCTCTCTTTCTCTCTATGACAACAATCATCGATCCATCTTAATTTTCTTTTTTGGTTTCGTTTTTTTTTCTACATCATAGGCAAGACGTCAAGAGAAAAAGAATACAAAAGTGAGCTTTGTAGATGAAAGAAATAAACAACAAAAGATAGCACAAAGATTAGCTATTAGGAAAGCTTCTGATGTAGCTGGTTTAGGTGGAAAATCAATTGTGGCTTTATTATAGTTTTCTTTTTGGGTGGTTTTTTGATATCATTGTTTTTTTTCTTTGGGTTTGATTGAGAATCGTTTGAGTATAATGTTTGGTTTATGATTTAACTTACATTTTGGTGAGTCTGGGAGATTATAGTCCAAGCTAAGGAAAGTCACCAGGGTTTACTTGTATGTGTTGAGCTCTAGATGGTTTGGTTTTATTCAAGTAGAAAAAAAAACAGAAAAAGTTGTTTAAGGCGCATTCACTTAGGGTGCGTTCACTTAAGGAAATTCTGACCAGAAATCACATTCTGTGAAATTTTTAATGCAAAAATGAAACATGCTCCACCAAATAGACACTTTAAAGTTTGCAGAATGTGATTTCTCCCCAAAAATTTCTTAAGTGAACATGCCCTCAATCTTCCTGAAAAATTACTTTTGAGAAGTTGTTTACAATTTCAACAAAAACCTGTCATAATGCATATTTCAATGCATTTAGGCCTAAATGCATACAAATATGCATTATGTGGGTTTATGCCTATTTGCATAACCTGCGATAATGCATAGCAAAAATTGTCTCCCCAATTTATGCATTAGCACAGGTTTGACTGTACAACACAAATAAAGAATCTTTTTCTCCAATGAGATCTTTTATAATTCAGCTATCAGTAAACTGTACATAAGGATTCCTTGCTTTTTGGTGGTATTTGAGTTGATCTGATCAGAGACTTGAAAGGTTTCTTTTAACTACATAGGTTCAAGGATCAGTGGTTCAGTTGATCTGGATCAAGAGCTTTGAGTAGATGATTGCGCGTATTTTCAAGAAATCAAAGTGACTTGCTTAAGTTTATGAACACTAGATTGACTTTTTCAATGATGAAATATCTATATCACATCAGTCAGGATCTATCAAATCAGTTGTATTGTGATTCAAATTCAATCAGATATGATATGGGCGCTCTCACCCACAAGTTGATTGAGTAACTGCTGAGCAATTCCAACACAAAAGTGGATCATGAGACTCTGACAGACTCTGACCACATAAAAGACTTTGACTCATTGAATTTAAGAGTGATATCTTGATCAAATGAAAATATCACATTTCTAAGAACCTCTTAAAACATCTCACAAGAAAATATCAAAACTATCCTATTTTTGAGAGAAAGAAACACATGACTAAAAACCCAGATTCATAGATTATATACTTATATATACAATAGCCGTGTTCAAACCTAACCCGGTTGCCCAAAGACCCGGTACACCCAGTTGATTTTTTGGCGGTAGTGGGTATACCCGGTCACGAAGTCAAGTTTGAGACCTCATGGACCCAGATTTGAATCACCCACTCACCTGCATTACCACTGCCAAACTCCACCTGCTAATGCTCTATCACCACGTATACCAAACTCCGCCCTTCGTACCGACGTCTTGGCCTGGTTGAAGTATTTCTTTGCACTTCAAGTAGTGTCCTTGGCCAACAGTTATCAACAATCTCGCAAGATCCCCACCGACTTCACTACGATCTTGGCAGCAGTCATCACCTTGATCAGCTCGACTCAGATGAAGATACAAGTGAACAAGACTGCCTCCTTATGATGGCTTCTCACTTGATGTTAGCAGATACCTTCATTCCATCATCCAGTCAAGTAAGTTAATCAATTCAAACAATCTCAACTGAAGAAACTAACCATTATGAATGATTTCAAAATCACTCTACATAGGATATTCTCTAGATATATCAAGTTTAACGACTTCAACTCCAATCAAAGAAATTATTCTCATCCTCGTCGTAATCATATTCATATTCAACTTTTCAAATAACTTCATATTTAGTCCGAATTCAACATCGACTAAACTAAAACTGAACAAATCGATTACCAAATCCACCGTTAAATTATGAACAAAATTTGACCAACCTATCGATCATCAAAACCCGAATCAACTCAAAATCATCATCTTATAATTTGAAAACAAAGATAATGATGATTTAGACTTGATTTCAGTAAGTTTGGTTTTACCAAATTTAAGAACTTAGTCAGGCAATGAGGTTTTACCTTTTATCAAGACTTCAAGTTATTTAATTATCTATTTTCAAGGAATCCATTGTTTGGAATAATGATTTAAATACTGATTTACACATTACAGTAATTTTCTTTCTTTTGAAATGATTCAAGTTCGACTTAAATGATAGATTCCTTTTAGAATTATCAACTTCTTTACAACAATTTAACTATACATACATATGTCAATTATGAAACATGAGTTGAAGGTTGACAAGGTGTTGGGGTGCTAGGAATTGGGGTTTTGATTAATAATGCATCGATGGTTTACACATCTTAAAAATCTTTCTTCATTTGATATTTCCACTTTGTCTAGTAATAATAATCATGACAATAAGTACGGTCCATTCAAATTACCTGAAAACAACAGGGATTGAAATTAATTTTCAAGTACGTGTTTTTGCCACAACACAGTTGGACTTGAGAGAGACTTACAAACTGGGGTCTGTGACCGAGAGGCAAGAAAACCCTGAGGTGAAGTTGAAACCAAAGGTGTGCTGTGGCTGACCTTTCCAAGGCCTGCCCCAATTGGATCAAGATGGTTTGAGAGAGGGAGGCTGAGTTGATCAATACCGGTGTGAGGCTATTAAATAGATCCAGCGCTGATAGATTTGTGTGGAGTGTTGGCGTTTGGAACGATATAGCTGTATGTGAACGAGACACTGATGATGTGTTGGAGTTAAGATGAGGCTTGTCGGTGTTCTGTTAGTTCTGTTTGCGTGGCGTGGTGGCATGATCGAATGTGAAGAGAGGGATGTGGAGAAGCGATTTTATTCTTTCCACGTTCCCGGTACACCCAGTGTGAAAATCAACTGGGTGTACCGGGTCTTTGGGCAACCGGGTTAGGTTTGAACACGGCTAATGAAAAAAGTCAATAATCCATTACCGTTGGAAATCATCACCAAAATCTTAAAAGAATTTGTAAATCAATTGGAAACCAAAAAACCATTAGCTGAACCCACTGCAACTGAACCATACCTCACAGAATCATCATGTACAAAATTAATTAAATTAAGGTTAATATCTAAGAATTGGTCTAAAGCTATTATACCATTTTATTTTCACGCAATCTTTATAGGTAGTTCAAAACGTGTAAAATTGATTCTAAAGAATTGGAATGGAGGTTTATACAAACCAGAATTTTCTTGTCCTGTTAAAAGATTGGTAATTCAAAAAGTTTGTAATACCAAAGAAGAAGCTGTTAAAATAGCAAAAGTTCATGGTAAGTTGGAATTCTCATTTGATTTGGATTTTTACCTATTTTGTGTTTTTGGGATTTACTAAAATTGAAGTTTCTTTTCTACATTTTTTAGGTCAAGGACAACCAACTCCAACTACACTGGATGAAGTAGCCACATTAATTAATTTGATCGGAACAAATATCAAAACTTTAAGAATTACTTTTATAGATTATAAGACGATTTCTCCTAGCTTGATTAAATCAATTGGAAATCTCAAAAAATTAAAATCCATAGAGATTTTGTTCATGAATGGTAAATTGAATAATCAAAATTATGATCCTAATGCATTATCAAGTTTACTCGGAGTCTTACCAGCAAAACTTGAACATTTACATCTTTATCATTATCCACGAACCATTTAGATTTAAAACCTGGTCCATTATCAAATTTATGTTACTTTTATTATTCAGTCATTTTTGATTATCTCTATCACAGATAATTCACTTTAAAAGTCAACATTTGTTGAAGAATTTGTATATATATATATTCACTATCACTTCATGATTAGGAACTTGATTATAAGCTAAATGGACCAATCAGATAAATTGTCCATCTCACTTCACAAACATCATTCAAACCACACCTTTTCAACTATTTTTGTATGATATCTAGCCAATCTAAGTTTCTTGAATAAACAAAACAACAATGAAAATGTTAAAAAGTAATCTCCAAAGTCAGTGCAAGAGTGCCAATTAAATTTAAGTCTAATGCTAAGGGCAAACATCTCTTTTGAAATTTTGGTTGAAGTGTACCTAAATGAGGTAATTTTGGTGATGAAACCCAACTAGATTCAAGTCATATTGGAAGATAGTTTGATTCAAAGAACTTCTGCAATAAATTTATATACAACACTTTCAAAAGATCTGTCTCCAGCTCATCAAGATTTGTTAGACATTAAGTTAGTTAAAGTCCAACAACTTGGTAAAGTTGGGCACAGAAAATCACATTTTTTTTACAAATCATACAAAATAAACACTGTCTCTAAGGGCGCATTCACTTAAGGAATTTCTGACCAGAAATCACATTCTGTAAATTTTTTAATGCAAAAATGTAACATGCCCCACCAAATAGACATTTTAAATTTTGCAGAATGTGATTTCTCACCAGAAATTGCTTAAGTGAACGCGCCCTAAGTAAATTTTGAACAAAGGGAATCTCATGATATCTTTTCTGATACAAGAATTATCTTTAAGGATGGGTTAATTACATGTTTATTTCAATATCTTGATATCATAAATACCATCAGGGTAAAATAACAAAGGTCAAGTCAATCAATATCCAATCCTCATGTGATTCAATATATTCACCCTCATGCTTTTCTCGAGTTATCTTTATCATCCCTCACATCCTACCTCTTATTATTGTTTGAATTACATTGTTATTTGTTTAAGTTTGTTCCTTATTTTATATCCTGATTTTATTCTTTGTTTCCTTTGTTATCTTTTCATCTTGTATCCTTTCACTCTGTGTTTTAATGTTTTTATTGACCACTGTTTTTTCCAAGCTTTTCTTGAGGCTTTTTCATATTCTATCTTTGCATTTGCTACTACTTTATCTTCTTCCTCATAGATACTGTTCTTATTCTGTCTTCATTCAATCATTTATTTATTATCTTGAGTTCCAGTTACTTTATTCCTATGGTTTACCGCTGTCCGTGTTGAGGCTTAGAATATGCTGGCCTTTGCTTTCTTTTGCCACACCTACATTGCGTTCTTTCCTGTTGTTACATAAGACGTACCACACCAAATTGTTTTTCAACGTGAAAGGAAGCACATGCAAAGTACCGGATCGTAGCTTTTAATTTTGTCGATTTTACAAGCAGACTACGCGTGGAAAAATCGTAAGATGTGCAAGATTTGGGATGGTCTTTGGAAAAAGAATGCAGCGCTGAAGAAACAACTGCCTTTTTAAGCTATCCGGTCCCGGTGACTCGTGAGTTTTGGTTCGGGTCAGCTTTGGTTTGCCAATTGGAATTCTCGATCATAATTTCGATCGCTGACGGTGACCTCATTCAACTCGAACTCGCCTGACCTATACTTCACCGCATTCGAATCGAAATTGGATCACCATCCATCTCAGCTGATGACAGAAAATCGTATTGGCATCAATCAAGTTGGAGTTGCAAGATTCGCCGAGTTTTCGACCATTGGTTTGCCGGATCTCATTTCATCCAATAGTTATGATGTCTATATGAGACTGAAGATATATTTACTCTGATTTTATGAGAGCCAAAACAGATTGGGTTCAAGATGCATTTCTCGAAAGACGTAAACGAAAATCGGAATCTGAATGGACTGGTCAATCTTCAACTTTATCCTCATGGTTTTCAAAATTATACGAAGCTGCTCAAACTTGGCTTGTACTTGCTCTAGTCGGTTAGCTAAATCTCATTTAAACTTGAAAACACAAGATTTCGTATCGGCTCACCTACGATTTCGGTTCATTTGTGTTTCTTCAGGTGCTGCAATCGGTCTTAATGCTGCCTTAATCTCAATTATCACAGCTTGGTTATCAGATTTAAAAATGGGATATTGTCGTCAAGGATGGTGGTTAAATCAAAAGTTTTGTTGTTGGGAAATCGAAGCCAATCCGAATTTACAAACCAATTTATTAAATCCAACTTCGAATTATACATTAGGTAGTGCAAGTGGTATAGTAGGCTTAGGTGCAACAGAAGAAGGATGTCAAGATTGGATCACTTGGACTAGTTTTTTACCAATTCGTTATTTAGCTTATGTATTTTATAGTATCACGTTTGCTTATTTTGCTGCTAAATTAGTCGTCGCTTTTTCTTCTTCTGCTGCTGGTTCTGGTATTTCTGAAATCAAATGTATCTTATCTGGTTTTAATAAATCAGGTTATTTAAGTTTTGTTACCTTGGGTATTAAAAGTATTGCTTTACCTTTGGCTATTGCTAGTGGTCTTAGTGTAGGAAAGGAAGGTCCAAGTGTACATGTAGCTGCTAGTATTGGTAGTGTTATTGGTGGAACATTTAAAAAGATTGATCGGAATAGTCATAAGATGCGAGAGGTGGTAACAGCTGCTAGTGCGGCTGGAGTTGCTGTGGCTTTTGGTAGTCCAGTGGGTGGTGTCTTATTTGCATTTGAGGTACGCTATCAACTTATTTTATTCTTTTTAAAGTTGGATTTTTAGCAACACGATACTGATCTCCATCTGATCCAGGAAATGACGGTCAACTTTCCTATCAAGACAATGTGGAAAAGTTTCTTCTGTGCACTGGTGGCTACCGTAACATTATCTGTGCCTTACAATTTCTCTTGAGGATTATCAGTCAAAGACTTCAGCTGATAAATAATCTCTTTGGTACACAGGCCATGAACCCATTTCGTACAGGAAAGTTAGTACTCTTTCAAGTATCATATGATCGAGATTGGCATTTTTTCGAAATCGGTTTTTTTATCTTAATCGGACTCTTCGGAGGACTTTATGGAGCATTTGTGATTAAATATAATTTACAAGTAGCTACTTTTCGAAAACAACATCTCGGTAATTCTGCCATTTCAGAAGTCGTCATCTTAGCTGGTATAACCGCTTTGATTGGTTATTTTAATAAGTTTTTAAGGATCGATATGACTGAAAGTTTAGATATCTTGTTTAGAGAATGTGAAGGTGGCGGTGATTATGATGGACTTTGTCAGTGAGTCTTTTTTCTTCTTTTGGATTTCAATCTTCTAGCTTCGTTTGATTAACTTGGTTGTTTCGGTAGATCTTGGGCTCAGTGGCAAATGGTCAATTCTCTCTTACTAGCTACTGTTATACGGACATGCTTGGTAGTGCTTTCTTATGGCTGTAGAGTACCAGCGGGTATATTTGTTCCTTCGATGGCTGTAGGTGCCACATTTGGTCGTATGGTTGGGATTCTTGTCAAGGCATTGTACATGTAAGAAAAGGTTTCATCTTTGAATATCAATGACTTCGACTAACCAGAATATTTTTATTTCATGAATCAGGTCGGTTCCTCATTGGGCAATCTTTGCTGCTTGCGATCCCGAAAAACCTTGTATCACTCCTGGCACTTATGCTCTACTAGGTGCAGCAGCAGCTTTGGGAGGTATTATGAGGATCACAGTGACAGTAGTTGTGATCATGTTTGAACTGACTGGGGCGTTAACTTATATCTTACCTACAATGGCAAGTTGTGACTACCTTTTTATCCTCAAATCGAATTATGAATCGTTTCTGACACCTACACAATCTGGTTAGATAGTCTTAATGGTAACCAAATCAGTTTCAGATCAACTTGTAAAAGGTCATGGAGGAATTGCCGATCAAATGATTCGATTAAATGGATTTCCATGTTTAGAAAAAGAAGATCATGTATATGGTACTGCAGTAGGCAATATAATGACAGGAAAATCACATGGGGTAAGGATCATAAATGTAGTAGAATCTCCTGTAGATTTGATTGTAGAACGTGGGGTTACGAATCCGAGTCGATCGGTGGAATTTCATTCTGATGAAAGTTTAGATCAAGTGGTTGCTTTACCTAGTGATTTACCTCTTCGTGATTTAAGAGATACACTTAGATCTGAACGTTGGGGACCTCAACAGATCTCGGGATGGCCTATTGTAAAAGGACGTGGCGATTTACGGATTGTGGGTTATGTAGCATCTGATGCGTTATTTGAAGCTGTAGGTAAGTAATACTGGGAAATCTTTCATAACTCCTTGTGAAGCTTTGATCTTTAGACTTTGAGATAAAGTTGAACTGACTTGACTTGATGTGGGAATTTTAAAGAACGAAGTCATGCATCTTCTTTTGGACCAGACTGTTTAGTAACTTTATGTAGAAACTCAACACTTGATAATCGAACTGATTTAACTGAGATTCGAACTAGAGAAAGGCTTGATTTAACTTATTTAGTTAACCCTTCACCTTTAAGAGTCAGCCCAAAACAACCATTAGAAATGGTGATGAGTCTTTTTAAAAAAATGGGGTTTGTGATTTCTTTTAATGATCTTTGGTTATGTTCTTTTCTGATAGTGTTTTGATGGTTGATTGTTTAGACCTAAAACTATTTTAATTGAATCTGGTGGTAATTTAGTTGGATTGGTTACATTAAAAGATGTTTTAAGATTCGAATATGAATCACAACATTCACATTTCAATCATAGTTCTGGTTTTGATAATCGAAATGAAGGATTAGAAGAAGTTTTAAATGATACTAAAAGTTTAGTTTGGGACGTTTTTAATGGGATTACTAGATGGGTTAAAGGATGAAACTTAAAGGAGACAGGATGGCTCATGAAATTCAAAAATGAAAGGGGTTTTAGATTTTGATTATTGTAGGATTCTTTACTTGTGGTGTTTTTTGATTTGATGGATTTTGAATTGATTTATTTAGATTGGGTTTCATTTTTTTGATTTTGATCAATCAACCTTTTTTTTTTCTTTCTGGAGTTTATTTTGTTGTATGTTAAAAATGCCAAAGTTGAAGAAATATATAGGAATCAAACAGAAAAATGATCCAGTTGTTGAATAGGTTTAAAGAAAAAGAATAAAAGGTGTGATTGAATAGGTATGTTGTTTTGGATATAAGTTTGTATAAGAGATCAGAGGATTGAAAAAAAAGAAGTTTGAAGATTTGTGCATCCTTTTTACATAGGTGTGCTGCCAAGCTTTCAGTTACATCATTTTAAGAAAACTTTCGACTATTTAGTTTGTTTAGATGTTTTTTCCATGAAGGTTTTTTTATCAAGGTATACTTCTATTTTTTGAATCCAAATCTAAATCTTCATTGACTCTGTTATCTTATCAGTACTGCTAGTAATGAATCATCAAAGTGCAAGGATTTAAAAAATTCATCAAAGTTCTTTTAACTTGAACAAAAAAAGAATGAATTCAAGATTGTTCAAGAGTTTTTTTTGTTGCTTTTGTCAACAATTTGACTACCTATTTAATCCAGATTCCAAAACATTTTGTGATTACACTTCCTTACACAAGTACTAAAATTTCCCCTAGAGTTGTTTGTGTTTATCTAGTTAGTATCACATTTACATTCAATTTAAAATTTCCTAATGTCTTGTATGAATTCAGCATTGACCTGTTGTCAGAGGATGAGCTACTATGAAAGCATCAAGAATTCCGAAAACCTGTGGTTAAGAAAACTCCTTGAACTCTTCCTCATCTTCATTTTTCTGTGTCTAAGACAAATCCTACTCACAATGACAGATTATTGTTAGAAATTATATGCGTTGGATTTGGAGGTTGACATTGTCTTTGCAAATTAACTGTACCAGATTCTAAGAAATAATTTCATTTAAGGAAGATGATCCTTTGTACCAGTGCATACTTCTTTTTGATGATCTCACTGTAAAAGATTTTTATCTTCTTCCTTTAATGATCCAAAGTGTAAGAAAGGTTTCACTGGTTCTTCATTGATGGGTCAAAATTTCATGAATTCTTCTGCTTCTATGGTTAAAATTATGTTTATCTTATCTTGACTTTAAACATTTCTGTTTCTTCAATCATTTAAAATTTCAAAGTATATTTCTCCTTGACGGCCATGGTTCTTTGACATGTTTCCGCAATTTATTTGGAAGGAGTTTGCAGGCCACTGTCTATGCTCAGGTGTTTCTACCTTATAAACTCAGTCTGGTAGATGTCACTATGGATTTCATTCAATCCGCTGGTCCTTGGAGTTCTGAAGCTTTTTGTATCTACATCGTTGCTCATGTTGGCCTTGAGGTTTTCTGAATCACCAAGTTTCAACAAAGCCACATGATTGGTCATTTGTTGTTGCAAATTGGTTCAAATGTTACTTTTTCTTAAAATTAACAGGTTTCTAATTCTTTCCTTTTTTCTCATTCAATTTATATCAAACATGGAATAAAAAGATTTGGTTTAGGTGCGCTTTTTCAGATCTATTGGTACAAGTTATCTGGAAACAACACTGAATCTTTTTTGTTCTGTTTGTTATTTTAATACTCTTGTTCTTCAGCACTCTTAAGTCTATATACTCTTTTAATAGGTGGGTTAACTTGAAGGGTTTTTTGTTCTGGATTTGATCCCTTTGAGGATATTTGGTCTAGAACTTTGGAGCTTAACTAGTTTTTTTTGCAAGTACTATGTTTGACAATTTCCAATTCTTGAAAGAAAGACCAGCTGAATATACATATTTTCATGAGTATTTTTTTGATCAGAAATTCTTTTTGGAAGCGTAATAAGTTTTCACATTTTTTTCTCATCTTCATTACCATTTTATACGGTGTGTTCAAAGTCATCTTAGCTTAACACAAGCCCTCCCGATGTGGCCGCGCAGAGAGGGCTTGTGTTAAGCTAAAATCAATGTCGTCTCAATTGTTGATGATTCTTTTTATTTCTGAATGAATGATGATATGGTGATATTGAGTTCAGAAATTGAAAGTATTTTAAAGGGTCTGTGTTGATTGATTGAATATTCTCAGAGTTGTCAAATGAAAGAGCCGTGTGGTGTAAATGGATGATTGATTTATTCACACACACCCTCTTAAATTCAAATTGAAATTGAGCTTTAAGGTTAAGTAGACTTAACTAAGTTTAAGTGTAGTACTATGTAGCTCAGTAAAGTGAAACTATCAATCCTTCCTTCATGAATTCTTTGATTACCTTCTTTCCTTTCCTTTTCGTTCTGCTTCTTCAGCTTCATCATCAATTCAAAACTATCTAAACGATTCAATCTACGTCTAATGGCTCTCTTTGGAGTCAAGAGACGTAAAGATGGAAATGAGAAATCGACTGGTTCTAGTCCACCTCATAAAGAAATACCAAATCAACCACACCACAATCGATTCGATTCAACTTCAAATCAACATTCTCATCATCCAATCTCTCATGATCTCAACAGACCTCATCCTCCAATCTCTTCTCAACAAGCTCTCTCTAATTCTTTCTCAGCTCCTCGTTCTAACTTTACTCCTCCTACCAATCATCAAAATCATCAAATCAATCCCATTCAGCAAATCAATCCTAATCAGCAAATCAATCCTAACCAGCAACCCATCCAACAACCTATTCAACAACCTATCCAACAAGCTCAAGCTCAAGCTCAAAAATCATCTACACCTCAACCATCCACTGTCATCTATCCTTGGTCTCATCGTCGATTAGGTCTTTTACCACCTGCTCCTTTTCCCGGTGATCCTTCTCCTGTCAATGGTTCAAGTCAACTTCGAGCTTCTGCACCTCCTTTTCCGAGATATGGTCACTCTGTCAATGCAATGGGAACTCCTACCGGTTCTGGTGATCTATACATCTTTGCTGGTCTCGTCAAGGATCAAGTCAAGAATGATCTTTATGTCTTGAATATTGCCAGTCCTCCTTCGTCGGTTGGATCAAATGCTCCTGTTCAACTTCATAATCAAGTCTTACCTGTCGGTTTAGTAGAAACTAGGGGTGAAGTTCCATTACCAAGAGTGGGTCATGCTTCGGTTGGAGTGGGTAATGTACTCATCGTTTGGGGTGGTGATACTAAAACATCTGAAGAAGAAATTCAAGATGATGGATTATATTTACTTAATCTATCAACACGTGAATGGACTCGAGTGAAGATCTCTGGTGATTGTCCTGAAGGTCGTTATGGTCATTCTGCTGCAATCATTGGTAGTAAATTTTATATCTTTGGTGGTCAAACTGATCAAGGTGGTTTTATGAATGATTTGTGGAGTTTCGATTTACATAAACGTATGTCGCGTCTCGACATCATCTCTTACACTCTCTTATACCTTTCTTTTCAAAAGACACAGTCACTCATTACCTCATCGAGATCATTTGTCTCGTATCCTTCAAATCCTCTTCGATCCTCTCATCCTCTCAGTCAAGTCAGGTGCCCCACAGTGGCAGTGTATTGAAAGTGCTCCAAATGAAGTCGCACCTACCCGTCGTACCGGTCACACTGTAGTCACTCATGGTGAATCAATCTTTGTCTTTGGTGGAACCGATGGTCAATATCATTATAATGATACTTGGAAGTTTGATACTACCACTGGTCAATGGAAGGAACTTGATTGTATTGGATACATTCCCCTTCCTAGGGAAGGTCACTCTGCTACTTTAGTGGATGATGTGATGTATGTGCTTGGTGGACGTGGTGTGGATGGAAAAGATTTGGACGATTTGGCTGCTTTTAAAATCTCAAGTTAGTATCTGATTGGCTTTTGGATTTTTGCTCAATCTCACTGATCACTTTTTTTTCCTTTTTTCCAGATCAACGATGGTATATGTTTCAAAACATGGGTCCTGCTCCAGCTGGTCGCTCTGGTCATACAATGGCGTCTTGGCAAGGCAAGGTTTATGTACTCGGAGGGGAGTCTTATACTTCTGCTAGACCGGATGACCCGTCTATCGTTCATGTCCTCGACACCGGTAAGATCAAGTATCCTCCGGACCCAGCTACTGTTGCTCGACAGCAATTGCAAGCCTCCAGCCGAAAGACATCCAATCCGAATCTTCATAGCCCACCCCCTGGCTCTATAGGTCCCAGAGGCAACGCATCTAATGTCATCCAACAAGGCTCCCAAGGTCCGAGGGCCTATGCTTCGCCCGCATCACCCGAAAACGCAAACACTACGGATTCGATCAGCAATCGGGGTAACAAACGGGCTACCACAGGTGCCACCTCTAATCCTCCCTCTCGACCTCGCCGTGAGGATGACCCTCCTTTGAATGCTACAGCTGTGATGAATAGAAGGACGATTGGTTCATCAAACACATCTCCCTCGCGAACGATGTCACCTTCTCACAGTGTGAATGCATCACAACAAGGACATGTATCTGTCACCGGTAACGAGAACTCGTCTCGTAGATCGATCTCGCCAATCGTTTCACATAGCAAGAATCCTAGTCTAGATCAATCAGTTCGTACTTCGCCTGTTCACAAACCGCCAAGGCCCCCACCTCCGACCTCTACACAAAACGTCGCGAATCCTCTTCAGTCTAATTCTACGTCATCGTCTCCTGTTCATCAACGCATGTCATCTGAAGTAGCTCGCAAATTGAACAATGCAAGTCCCCCGGTAGGTGGGATGAGAAATGCTGAGAGGGGATCCAATCCACCCCATCAATTCTCTAGCCTTGGTTCTCAGATGGAAGAAGATCATCATCGTCTTCAAAAGAAAAACATGTGGATGAAAGCTGCTCTTGCTACAGCAGTCAAACAAGGTTTTATGCTTCCATCCAGTGAGGATGATGATCCTGATGAGCTTGCAGATAGAAACTGGTTAAATAGCTTTCAATCACCTAGTCCCGAAGGGAATGATAAAGCCAAAGATTGGCAGCGGTTGGTTGAAGCTTTGATCCAGCTTAAGCGGGAGTTAGCAAAGGCCAAGGTTTGTTGATGTTTATTATCTTTGACTCCATCACTCTAATTGATTCTTGATTCGTTCATCTTCCAGGGTCAAATGGTCGATCAAGCCAAATCGTTGGACGATCGTGTTTCAGAAGCTGGCAAAACGAAATCGGCTGCTCTACAAGAAGCATCATTTTATCGAGTGAAACTAGCAGCTTATGAATCAGGATCAGTGTCAGATGTCAACAAGATTGAACGAGAAAGAATCTCCGATTTGGAATCTAAATTATCAGAGATCATAATTTGTAAATCTGGACTAGAACGACAACTCGTTCAATTGAATCATGAGCTTGAACAAGAACGACATTTACGAGAGATGTTAGAAGAGAACACATCTAAGACGAATGAACGATCTAATCATCTCGAGGCATTACATTCACGTACGACATTGGATTATGAAGAATTGTTGAACAAGACACGTGGTCTTGATCTACATGCATCAGAACATATTGAAAGGTATACCGTCTTGGAATCATCTCATCAAAGTACTCTTAGCGATCTAGAAAGTTATCGTCATAAACTTCAAGTTAGTGAATCCTCGAATGAGAAATATTTAATTGCACTTGAACAGCTGCAAGACACTTTGAATGCGACCCATGGACGTGTAGAAGAAGTCGAACAGTTTTGGGAACAAACTAAAGAAGAATTAGATGTACAGAAATCAACAGCTATGGAATTGAGTCGAGAACTTGAAAGTCGATTAGATGAGATTTCAACCTCCACTTCAAAAATACAAGAATTAGAACAAATTCTGATGAGTGTTAAAGAAGAGAATCTTACGTTGAAGAAATTGAATCAAACTGGTTTAGCAGACTTGATTTTGATTAGTAAATCTAAACTTGAAGAAAGTCGAGGGATGAAATCAGATGGATCAGAAGATCAATTGAATGAAGAAAGATCTAAAGGATTGAAATTGTTACATGATCAATCGAAGAATAAATTAGAGAGTGTTTTGATGGAATTAACGGAAGTGAAGACGAGAAACATGATCTTGGATCGAGAATTAGTAAAGAGTCAATCTGAGATGAGTAGGATGAATGTCAAATTTTCACAATTGATAAATGATTCGAACAGGATGAAATCTCAAATGAAATTAAAAGAGATGGATCTGAAAGAAAAGGTTAGGTTAACTGAAGTAGCTGAAGTGAAAGCATCTTTAATGAAGAATATGATGGCCGATAATGGATTATTAGGAGGAGCAGATGAAGAGATTGGAACGCGATTTTTTGATCCTAATCATCTTAATGGAGCTAGTAGTAGTGGTATGAGTATGTTGGGATCCAATGAAATGATTGGAGCTGAACACATCACCAAACGAGTTAAAGAACTTGAACAACGATTAGAACAACGAAACCAATTACATAAACAATTAGAATCTAAACAAGAAGAAACTCAAAAAGAGATGAACCAGTTGGAAGAAAAGTATTTAGATGCACATCGAAAACATGAAGCTGCAGCTGATGAGATTGCATCTTTAGTTCAAGAAGTTCAAAGGTTAAGATCAGGTGGAGCTACTTCTGTTTCATTGACTTCGGCTGAAGGAGGAACTGGACCAGGAGGAGGATCAGGAACACAACAAGGAAAAGTAGAAGAAGAATTACAAGTGCTTCAAGAAAGACATCGAACTTTGGAACAAACTCATATTAAAGCAGTTCAATATGTTAAAGGAACGGAAAAGATGTTGAGAAGGATGAAAGATGAATTATCAAAGTATAAAGAAAAGACTGAGAATTTAGAAAGTGAATTGAGTGAGTTTAGGAAATCATCGAATGGAGGATCAGGAGGAGGAGGAGAATTAAAGAATCAATTGATTGAATTAACATCACAACTTGAAAGGTTAAGAGTTTCATCTAAACAATCGAATTTGGAAAACGAATCGTTACAGAAGAAGATGAGTTTATTACAAATCGAATATGAAAGAGATATGAAATCGTATGAAGAAAGTTCAAGAAGACGATTAGAAGAACTTCAAGAAGATTGTAATTCTATGGAAAAGAAGAATGAACAACTTGAAGATCGATTGAATGAGTTTATTAAAGAGAATACGAGTTTGAAAGATATCATTAGTCAGAAACAGAACCAAAAGCAGAAAAAGAAGGGAGATGGTGATGGTGATGGAAAGAATGAAGGAGAAGAAGGGTTGGGTGGTTTGGAACATGCTTTGAAGCAGATTGATTGGCTTAAACAAGAAAATGTAGAATTACAAGGGAAATGTAGAGACGCAGAAGCAAAGGTAAGTTTTCCATTATATTTTTAAAAACAATCGAAAATTCGAAACTGATGATTTTTGATTTTTACCAACAAAAACACAGATCTCATTATTATTAGATCATATGGAAAATCATTCAAATGGATCAGAAGATCAATTAGATGGAATCGGAAATCCAAGTAATGGATTAGGTATCGGATTAAGAGATCTTCAAGCCAGTACGGATTCTAGATTCGATTGGGATTTACATAGAAGATCGAATGGGATCGAATCGATTGGATCTGATTATAGTGCTGGGTATGTTGGAGATGAAGGAGTTGATGAAGTTGATAAGAACCTTCGAAGCAATATTGGTGCGGGTACGGGGAAAGTTGCTGGTACTGGTCAGAGTCATGCGTGAACTTTTAGAGGGCTTGGGAGGTTATGATGTTGTGGGTTTGGTATATGTAGGATGGATCAAAGAGTTTATAGAGAATTGTAATGGAAAAGAACAAATTAAATTAAATTACAATCACAATCGGAAGGTTTTTCTCTTTTTTTTTCTGTCTTTTTGAGGAAGAGTGGGATGGTTTTGGTTGGTTAAATGGGTTTTTTCTGTTGTATAATGAATGACATCATGCTTAATTTTTTTTGTTATATATAAAATGATTATATTTAACGAAATTTGATT